CTCTCTCTCTCTCTCTCTCTCTCTCTCTCTCTCTCTCTCTCTCTCCTGCTTTTAAATCATTTAACACGTTTAAAACATGCAAATTATAAATTAAAAGATGTTACAGGATTCTGACAGGAGTAGAAATTAGGCAACATTTATTCAGGGAATTGTAAAAAGTTATAAATTAATAGGAGTATGAATTTTTTTGTCATGTACGTCTGTTAAATACATTTAACATCTTAGTATAAAAAAAATTTGTTTTTATATTGAATATTAACATCATTTCAATACTGTTTTACAAAAAATTTTTTTTATTTATTATTAAGGTTATAGTTATTGGCTTACGGACCGGAAAAAAACGATATATCACAAAATGGGACTTATAAAAAATCAAATATAATATTTCACTAAAAATTCGAGTTTGTAAGATAAATCAATGAAACATGATTTTGAAATTTGCAGGAAGTCTCCGTGAATTGACATAGAAAATCATGATAAATATTTGTCAAACATTAAGTTGAATAAACCGTTCTCAAGTTATTGTATTGCAATTAAAAAGTGCAATTTCGAGAATAACACGTTTAGTTTTAATAAATTTTTTTAAATTATTAATATCAAAATATTGTTAACTGTAAATTATTGTACTTAATAGACATACATAACGAAAAATTCATACTCCTATTAATTTACAACATTTTAGCTCCCTAAATTTTACCTAATTCTTATCAGGCTTTTGTAACCTCTTAATTTACAAATGTCAAATGATGTGACTTAAAACGACAAGAAACGTACAAAAAGAAACTCAACTAAAATAACGCATTTGGATTTACAGTGCATGTGATCCAGAATTTAAATCTTTATTCAAACTGCCATGCTTCGCACGCAATGGAATTTTAATTTCAAAGTGAGTTATAAACGAGTGCTTAAAACGAGATTTCCAAGTGGATCGCGAAGAGAAAGTAACACGCGATCGAGTTTAAGAGGAAATAAACTGCTCAAGAACATTGCAAATCCAAGTACGCGCGGAAAAAGCAGTATGGTTGGCGCACACGTAAATTCGGTTGCGCCCACCAGACTCAACAGTAAAATACGTAACAACTAATTATGTGGTTGCTGCAACCACAAAGTAATTGCGGAATTACTGACGTTACAGCAGTGGTGGTATCTGGTTGCTCCAGCCAGGGTGTGTATTCGTGGTAAATCACCGCTAAGCCAAATTATTTTGACTTAATCTCTTTTTACACGTTTTAAGTCACGTCATTTAACACAGTTGAACATATGAGATTATAATTCATACGTCTCGGACGTGTTACATAACGTAATTTAATATGGCAAGGAACGTGTAAAAGGAACTTCGGCCAAATTACACGCTTATGCGTTTAAAAATAACATTGAATTTAATTTGGTACAAATGTAGAAGTACAAAAAATATTTACATATTTTTTCACTTTGAACTTCACGAGCAATTTATAGCTTTCTAATGTTCTCACTCCGACCATCAACAAAAATGCATAAAAGAAATAAAATTGAATAAAAGATATAAGCATTTTTGGTTTGCTGATTATGAGTGTGACGTCAAATGTGTAAAATTATTTGTATAAATAATGAAATGTTTAAACGAAACATGTAACAAGTTGAAAAAATTATGTATAAAAATAATTTCTCGGTTTGTTCGGAAGCGGCCGAGATTCGAATCATTTTTTATTAATTTAGCATAGATTTAAAATATTTTAGTTGGAATCTCGGTTAAAAAAATTTAGAATAGTTCGTGTCTCAGCTATGCCGATTTATTAAAATTACTTAATTATATCTTATATTCAATTTTATTTCTTATGCATTTTTGTTATACTTATTGATGATAGGAGTGAGAACATTAAAAAGCTATAAACTGCTCATAAAACTCAAAGTGGGCCAAAATGAAAAAATATTACCTAAATATTTTTTGTACTTCTACATTTGTGTTAAATTAGAAAGAAGTGTACCTTTTGGGTAGGTTTACTTGTGAGTCATGTCGGCCTTACACGTTACCACAAAGATAACTAGGTTGATGCAACTGTGCTACTCACGACTAAATATTTCTGGTTACGTGCACCACTGGTGTTTCTCCCGCGCGTTATTTTCAAGTATATAACCGTGCAACTTGCTTGAAGCTCTTTTTACACGTTTATTGCGGTTCTAAATCGCTTCGTTTAATGCAATCTGATACACTCAAGCATGTTCACTGATCTGTCGAAAAAACGGCGAGAAGCACGTAAGAAGAGATTCAGCCAAAATAACACGCTTGAATTTGCCGTGAACTATGTTGCCGAAAGATCGGTGATCCGCGCTGATCGAAGAATCATCCGTGAACTTGTGGATGAAGGACTTCTCCGAAACATTCTATAGACTCGTGCAAGAAGTGAGTTATAGCGAGGAACCTTTTTAAGTCGCCCTTTGTTCATTTTTCCGGGAGAAGAAACAATTAGCGGACTTTTTAAACACTCTGGTCTGAAGATCCGGTCTAACACGATCCCGGGGTCATCGCTCGCACTTGAAGAAACGTAATTATCAAGGCAACCGTGCAAGAAGTTCCTCGTTTTGCCGGCCGGCTAAAAACAATGCCTTTTGTACGGCTACAACTGTGCGTATGCGGTAAAGTAATTGCTCTCGCATTAGCATCCACCCGCTTCCCAGTGTATTCTACTACAAGTGATTAGCTGCGTACGCTCAGGAGTGTCGCGTTAGCGACGATTGTTATTGTCGTTATCAGCGGGCCATTGTATTAAGAACTTAAGCGGCCTATCTCGTTTAACTCATCGGCCGCAATCGCGCCGCGTCCGTATTCTTTCATATCTCAAGAAGAATAAGAGACGCTCTCCTTCTCTCTCTCCTTTTGTCTCTTGCCCTCTTCCTTTCTCCCCCTCCCCCCCTCTCTTTCTCTATCTATCTCTCTGTTTGTCTTTCTCAAAGTACATTATCTCACAAACCCGGCTGCACTGTAATACAGCAGCTTGTACGATACGATTCTGCCGAGAACGAGGAATGTCAAACTGTATTTCACATCAAAATAATTAGACGCGCGTATAGTCGGTAAAAGAAGAGTTTCAAGTTGTAACATCTTCGCCTTTGGATGAACTTCAGAACGCGTTCGGTATCCAATAAAAAAATTTATCTCCTGAGAATCATTAAAGAACAGATTTTCTCTTATGTTGGATGCGTGATGCGTTGCGAAGGTAATAATAGTGTTGCGCATTATTCGATTAAAATTTCCTCTGAATAAGGTAACTGTCAAAATTTGATAAAATTTGACTTTTTTTCCAGCGGCGATCGCAGCCACTATTTTTTAATAAATTCGAGGTTGCTAAATCCAAATTCGCCAACAAAAAATGCCCATTAGGTTTTTGAATGATCCGACATCATTTATATCTTGGAAAACGTTTATAATTCGGTGAAAAAAATTACACAGTACAAAATAACAATTTGTTTTAAACGTGAAGAATAGCACTTTAAAGTAGCGTCAATGAAATTGAAAATAAAATTTTGTTTGGACAAAAAAATTGATAAATATGGCAAAAAAACGCAGTTTTTTACCCATATTACTTGATTTATCTCAAAAATCTGACGTGATGGGTATTTTTTGTTGGCGGATTTGGCTTCAGCGATCTCGAATTTACTAAGAAATATTCGCCTTTGTCGCCGCAGATTTTTTTGTTAAACTGTGTAATTGATAAATCAATCATAATTAATCGATTCTCATACAAAATCATAGATACTTGCATCGACTATAATATTTTAGACAAAACATAATTTTAGGTAAAATTTGATTAATAAATAATTTTATCAATCGACGAAATTATTTGTGATTTTCTATATGACGATTGATTCTTATTATTAATTTGCTTATTATTTTAGTAAAAAAATTTTCGATTGATGAAATTATTCATTAGTGTATAATCAGATCAATGTTTTATTAATAATTAATTTTATTCATCAACGAAATTATTTGTGATTTTATATATGACGACTGATTAATTTTAATTATCGATTTGTCAATTATTTCAATTAAAAAATATTTTAATTGATTGGTGAACTTAATCAATGCATAATCAATCATATAAAAGTTTAATTAATAATCAATCTCATTCATCGATTAAATTATTTATGTGCTTTTACAAAAATAGGGACTGATTAATTTTAATTATCGATTTAACCATTATTTTAAAGAAAATCTTAATTATATGATGAAATTAATAATTAATCAGTATATATTTAGCTACATTAAAATTTGTTTAATAATTAATTTCATGGATCGATGAAATTATTTTTTATTTTATATGTGACAATTGATTAATTTTGGTTACTGATTTCTTGATCAAAGAAAACTTCAGCTGGCTGATGAAATTAATTATTAATCAGGATATAATCTGCCACGTCAAAGTTTGTTAATAATTAATTTCACGAATTGATGAAATTATTTGTGATTTCATACAGCCGATTAATTCTGATAATGGATTTGCCGATTATTTCAGTGAAAGAAAATTTTAATCGTCTCGTGCCCAGCACTGAATAAAAGAAGCTCGATTTTTGTTTAAAATGTACGGCAAATAGTCGATATTGCGCCCGTCAGAAACTTCTTTTTTTATTAACTCCGAACGGGCGATCGGGCGAACGAGGTCGCGTTACTCCGCCAAACGGCTCGTTTAATATTTCTATTAGATAATTCGTTTCTCATTACACGCGACATATATGCGACACATTACGCGCGCCTTGTATTTTCACATATATTTGTAAATTCGCATCGATTTACATCGATAAATTCGCGCTCATACCGATAAATTCGCGCTCGCGTCGGCATTATTGATATATGCCGTTGTGTTGAGGCCGGTATCATTGGTACTATTAATACCGTGCCGTCCGGTTCTACGATGACGTGGTAAATATGTATGTGAGCGTTATAATGTATAATTCGATATAAAAACTAATGAGTTCTCGGGCATAATGCACCGCGCCGCGGTACGATATTAGTACGAAATCGTCGCGTTTAGTCGTAATATATACCAAACACGCAGCACCACGCGTGCACGTGATCGTTCTCCAATACGTGATACGAGTAATTATCACGCTCCACGTCCCACAGGCACTGGAAGGCCGCGCAGATACTTTGACGGCAGCGTTGAATGATGTTCACCTGCACCACCACCTTGCACCTGCACGCAGGAGAAAAAAATCACAAGTCACTCTCTAAAGTGCACTCGGAGCGTAGCTCTTCACTGAAATGCTGTAACTAGCGGCATTCGGTGTAGCAATCAGCAATCAGTAAAATCTCGCTGGAAGGATCGGTCAATAGGAGCGACTGTTTCCATTATGGATGCAGTTTGCAAACACAAACACTGCACAAACAGTGTCACTGCACATGCGAGTGTCATGCGAGGCGCATGGAAGCCATTAATTCCGTCGCCGCCAACGCAGAAAGTCGGATTTTGTATTGCGTATAACGAATTTGCATTCTACACATTTTGCGGTGAAATCTTACTTCCGTTGCTGAAAATCTGTGCACTGTTAAAAAATTTTGTGTTAAATTCAATATATCTCACATGTTCCAATTTATCTATTCTAATTTTGATGTCAATTTAACACAAGGCCATTATATAAACAAATGATATGTCGACAATTAACATAGCAATATAGCATTTGGACGTTGTAATTTTAGCACTAAGAAATGGTGAACATGGACTCAAAACAAAATAGTAATAACAACAGTAATATGTTAAATTAACGCACGGATACGCCAACAATTTAACACAAAAGTTTTTACGTGGCTCGATTTCAACACAAATACAAAATATTCTTTATCGTACGAAATACAAGACCGGGTAGCAAAGTGGAAATGTTCTACGCGCAAAAATATGTATTACGTATTATAGTAAATGTTACTAGTTTCAAATATTTCATAAGTCTATATATTCACAAATCTGTCACAAGTTTATCATAAGCATCAAATTTATTCTAAACACTTTCTGAATTCTAATAATTTAACATTTCAATCAAGAATATTGAATTGAAACGAAAATTCGGTTGCGTTTACTACATAAAGAATCGAATTTTCTTCTAATAACATTTTATAATATTCTTGTGAAAAGAATAAATTTCTCTTTCGACATAATAATGAATTTTTGTTAAATCTGTGTTGAGTGAACCGAGAAAAAATGTATTGAAAATTTATTTGTAAAATGTAAAGTTTATTCACAGAAATAAACTTTGCATCCCAAAAATAAATTCTCGAATATTTTTGACTCAATACATACCAGGTATGTAAATATGAAACCGGAATTTTTGTATAGAAAATACGTTTATTGTATGAAAATGATAAAAAATATTTTATTCGAAGTATTGCCCATCGCTAGCTATACATTTTTCCCACCTGTCTGACAATTTGTGGATGCCACACCAGAAAAACTGTTGTTCTTTTGAGGCAAACCAGTCATCGAACCATTTTCGTACATTTTCGTAAGAAGTGAAGTGCTGCTTAGCAAGTGCGTGTCCCATCGATGCAAATAAATAGTAATCGGACGGAGCTAAGTCTGGTGAGTAAGCCGCATGCGAAAGTATTTCCCAACTAAACGCCTCAATCGTTTTCTTGGCCAGTTTTGCTGTGTGTGAGGGTGCATTATCATGAAAATCATTTGCAAAATCACTTTGTGTTGCCTTTTTTTATATTCTGGTCGTTTTTCACGCAAATTCAAATCGATCATTTGTTGTCGGTAGCATTCAGTATTAACAGTTTGGCCAGGTTTTAGCAGCTCATAATAGATCACACCTTTCTGATC